GAAATCCATTATTTTTACGTGAAATTCAAGACTTTATTTAACATGTTTCCGATTGTCTGATTTGGGTCAAATATGCACCGTTTTGATTTATAATTTTTTGCCATTTTAAAGGTACTTTCATAATGCCTCTTTCATAGAAGTCTTGGTCCTTATTGGCGAAAAACTCTAGTAATCAATTTTTCACAATATCCTCTTAATGCCAATTTCTTATCACTAAGGAAGCTTTGCAATGCAAGAAAAACATTGTAATCGCTTGGTGCCGGACTATATGGTGGATGCATCAAAACTTCCGAACCAAGCTCCCGGAATTTCTAGTGCATCACTATAGACATGTGTGGCCTGTCCTGATGGAACACAACACCTTCCCTGTTGGCCAATTCTAGTCGTTTCTGGTCAATCGCTAGCTTCAAACGGTCCTGTTGTTGACAGTAGAGATCCGAATTTAGTGTTTGGGCATATAGAAGCAACTCATAATAAATGATTACTTTCCAGTTCCACCAAATGCACGGCAGAACCTTCCTTGCCGTTAGTCATGGTTTGGCCACCGTTTGAGCTGTTTCAACGCGCTTTGACCACGATCGTTTTTGCACAATATTGTCGTGTGTGATCCATTTCTCATCCCCAGTCACCATCCGTTTAAGAAATGGGTTAATTTCATTCCGTTTGGCCAAGACTTCGAAGATGGATCCATTATGTTTCTTTGTGTTAATTGGTGTAGCACCCAAACATTGAGCTTCTTTTTGAATCCAGCTTTGTGCAAATGGGTTAAAACTGTTTTATGGTCGATCATTAGTTCTTGGGTGATGCTACGATTGCTAACATGCTGGTCGATTATTTCTATGATTTTATCGACATTTTCGACGACAGGCCTACCTGTGCGAGATGCATCTTTAACATCAAAAATACCTGAACGGAATCGACGAAAGCAGAATTGCACGTAATTGGTTATTACAGTATCGGCATCATAAACACCATTCTCAATTACAGCCGCCTGGCTTGCATTTTCGCCTTTATCAAAGAAAACTGTAAAATGTACCGAATTTTTTCTTTGTTGACTTCCATTTTTAACACCCTGTAAGTCACAAATGAATGGACTAGACGAAAAACAATAAAAGAATTTTTTTATTTCGAAATGTCACCTTTTCAACGAGCATAAATCTGAAATTGTTTGATCGATACTTTACGAGATATCGATCATTACAGCCATCTACCAAAAAAATAATGGATTTCTTTTTCCCCAACCTAATATATCTTAATATATTAAATTGTGCAGTGTGTTCGTTCCTGTCTTGTCACGATCCAGTACTACAGTTTTCAGGAATTGCGCGCCACTTGCTAGGCTAAGTGAAAAGCTCGGTATAGTAATACGAAACTGGAACTATAATCTGTCATTCTCACACATAGGACATAATAAAAATAGACTGAGCATGTCTTCTAAACGGTGAAGTTCAGATAGAAAGAGGCGGACAATAGGTGCAGTAAACGAGGGTAGTCCCTAAAGTACCCGACCAAAAAAGAAAACACAAAAATTTTGGAAAAATGTATTTATTTTTCAACATAATCTCCTTTCAGCTCTATACACTTTTCCCAGCGATGTTCAATAAGTTCGATATCCTTTTTATAATAAGAACTGTCTTGCTTTTCAAAATAGCCATTAACTGCATACATCACTTCTTCATCGTTGGAAAATCTTTAACCACTGAGCCATTTTTTCAAGTTTGGGAACAGAAAGTAATCCGAGGGGGCTAAATCTAGCGAATAGAGTTCACCAGACACTCAATTGAAACATCTTCACGACACTGTTTTTGTTCGAGTGTGAGCAAACGCTGCACCCATTTTGCACACAGCTTTCTCATGTGCAAATTTTCAGGTAATATGCGATGTACCGCACTTTTTGAAATGCTTACTATGTCTGCTAGCTCGCGCACTTTCAGTCGACGATCATCCAGTACTGCTTTGTAGATTCTCTTTACCATTTCTGGAGTTGTCACCTCATTTGGTCGACTACTGCGATGCTCGTCTTAGCAGCTCGTACGGCCTTGTTTAAACTCTGCTACCCAATATTTTACTGTTGTAAACGAAGGAGCAGACTCACCCAGAGTAGAATCTAGTTTAGCTTTTATATTGGTTGGGCTGAGGCCTTTCAAATAAATGTATTGTATCACATAACGATGATCAATTTACTCCATTTTCACAAATTCACTGAAAATGTTCACTATTGATGGCTGCCAAACAAATACTAAACAACGTGGCGTCTTCAAACTTGAAACATATGCTTTATAGATTGTGTACTTTCTAATACAGTGATATTTTTCAAACAACTACTGCCATTTCTAGGTCAGGTCGGGTATTTCAATTTTCTCCAGTCTCACAAATTCACTAAAAACGTTCACTATTGATGGCTGCCAAACAAATACTAAACAACGTGGCGTCTTCAAACTTGAAACATATGCTTTATAGATTGTGTACTTTCTAATACAGTGATATTTTTCAAACAACTACTGCCATTTCTAGGTCAGGTCGGGTATTTCAGGGACCACCCTCGTAGTTCTCTCTTTCGAATAAGGAAAGAGAGAAAAAAAGAAGGGTAAAAAAGAATAAGCAGACAGCTGAATACTCGATCGTTCATGCATGACTATTTTCTCATTATTATATAACTTTTTCTGGTGTGCGAACAATTGAGTATTCAGCTGTATACTTTGTCTTTTTTACCTCTCTTTCTCTCTACTCTTTACTCATTAGAGAGAGAAAACTACATAGCACCTATTGTCCGTCTCTTTCTATCTGATCTTCAGTTCCCGCGCTCATGCTCGGTCTATTCTTAATATTAATCTGTTCTTTTTAGCTACACTGCTTAAATGGTGAAATAAGTTAAAGCGAGACAAAATATATTTGCCCCACTCTAACTTATTATTGCACCAGTTCTGCAATGCAGCTAAAAAGAACAGATCATATTTCAATGTCAGTGCCTGGCATACGATAACTTCTGGTGGCCGCATCATTACCGCGTGGCGATATTCATGCTGGTCAATGACACGTGAGGGGAAGACGCACACAAAGCGCGTTCCGTGTACGAGTCCGGTCCGACAATCGAGCGCTATCGGCTAGAAAAAGACAGGCATATTCGACGTCACAACTATCTGTCTCCTATTCTTTCAGGCAAGTTTGCAACGATACGGTTCATTCAGAATGGCTCGTATCGATAGCGCTTGTCCGTCAAGCCGGATATGTACACGGCACATACGCGCTTTGAGTGGGTCTTTCTCTCAAGCGCCTGAATGTTTTTGGCATATCTGATTGTGGAAACACTTATGAATACACTTATGAATACCAGCAGTCATGCAGACGACTTTCAGAGGCATTATAAGAGCATCATAAGAAGATTTCAATTAATTGTTTTATTAAACAAAAGGTAGAAAGTACAAATAAGTGACAGGCGTGTAAAATGTTGCGCAAACGGCATCACTCTTATAATTATCGATATTCTAACACCGATATAATATACTGTTTGCAAGACATTTTACATGCGTGTTTCTTTTTCGTAGTTTCTCCTCTTTATTTAAACAATTTATTGAAAACTTATGATACTTTTACAATATTCTTCAAAGTTGTCTACATGGCTATTGTTATTCATTTTGCACAAGTTGTAACTACAGTTTAAATTTAACCTCGCGTTGCCTTGCAAATGTATGTCACAGCTTCAAGCTCCAATAGTACTGAATTGTTTCAATAATATTCCAACGCGCAAGGATAGTTGAGCGGGTGAGACACTCGAGGCCTTCTAAAATCCAAGAAAAACTTCAGGATATATTCAAACGTATATAGTTTTTTCACTACTCATGGAAATTTAAAATAAACACTTCTAAATGTGAAACAATATTATTTAGACCAAATCTCTGAAGGCCAAAAGAAACGTTAGAAGAAATTATAAAATTTTTAACATCAAAGATATCAGAAACATAAAAGTCACCGATAACGACGAAATAATCTCTCATAAAAATATAGTCAAATATCTCGATGTTAACATTGACGAGAGATTATTATTTAATAACAAAATGTAAAAATTCAAGTAGCCAAAGCTAGAACCGCACTTATTAAATATGAAAGATTATTATTATCTAAATATCTTTATAGTACAACAAAAATTTATCTGTTATCAATTACTGATCAGATCAATCTTAATGTATGACTGCATTATATAGTAAAATATAAGTGCATCTCTCATGGAAAAGTTTAAACTCTTCGAACGTAAATGCTTAAAAGCTCGTTTATATTAGGGTGTTATATAGTAAAATATAAGTGCATCTCTCATGGAAAAGTTTAAACTCTTTGAACGTAAATGCTTAAAAGCTCGTTTATATTAGGGTGTCCCATAAGTTTCTTCCATTTTTATGATGCGAAATGAATACACGATATTTGTTGTTTAAGGTTGATTTATTGTGTTATATATGAACAGTTTTGCTCTAATACTTTCTTCCATCTCTCAGGAAGCCTCATTATGTCCTCTTTCCAAAATTGTTCAAGCTTACTTGCAAAATTTTCATCAAGGTGCGTTTTTATTTCGCTTACAAATTTGAACTATTTATTACAAAGAACATTTTTTAACGATAGAAACAAGTAATATTCGGATAGAGCAAGGTCTGGGGAGTACGAAAGATGAGATAGAACGTCCGTATCAAACTGCAATAGTTTTTGTCTTACGACCAACGCAACATGCGGTTTTGCGTTCTCGTGATGAAAAACGACGCCTAGTCGGTTTGACAATTCTGGGCGTTTTTCTGCTATGGCGGCTTTCAATTGATCGAGTTTACTGCAATATTTGGCTGAATTGATCGTTTCACCTTGAGGAAGGAGCTCGTAGTAGATTACACCTTTCCAGTCCCACCAAATGCACAAAAGAACTTTCTTCAGGTGAAGTCCAGACTTCGCAACAATTGAAGGTCTATTTTCCATAGACCAATTTCGTTTTCGATGTACATTTTGGTGTAAAATCCAAGTCTCGTGCCTAGTGATAAGCCTCTTTAAGAAAGGAACTCTTTCATGTCGCTGGAGAAGCAAATCGCACGTAGAGATGCGGTTCATACGGCCGGTCTCCGTCAATTGGTGTGGAATCCAAACTTCACATCGATTCGCATATTCTATCTTGATTAAATGCTTATGTACCGTTGTCCTGGAAATGTAAGTGGCATCCACTAACTTGCGCGCACAATATCGATGATTTTCAGCTAGCAAAGCCTTGAAAAGTTCAGTATCCATCGTTGCTGGGCAGCTGCTGCGGTCTTCATCTTTCAAGTCAAAATTGCCAGCTCTAAATCTCTTAAACCAATTGCGGACGGTCCTAATAGTCGTAGTTCCACTCCCGTAAAGAGTGCAAACCTTGTCTGCAGTGTCCTTTGCACTATTATCTTTTTTAAAACAATAAAACATAACATGCCGCAAATGCTTCTTTTGGCTATCCATATTGAACGACGTAGAAACAAATTTTTAAAGAGACTTTGTCACCAATGAAAGGTACTTTAAAAGATATCTGGGACGACTGAAACCGATGCCCTAAACGGACAAGAGATAAGCCTACATGTTTATATAAACACAACCAGCTAGAGTCATTTATAGCGTGGCGCGGAAGAAACTTATGGGACACCCTAATATAACGTAGATCTAGCGAATCCATCTAAACGAAACACATAAGTAATAAATCGATATATGATTTAGTTACCATTCCAATAGTAAATAATTTTGTAAATAAATTGATTGGAGATCATTACGCTAATGCGATAATATAAAACAAAATAGTTTGATTTTCGGTGGGTAATATCTTAACCCAGCCTATTTTGAAAAAATTTTATGCTCAGGTATTATTTCTCCAAAAACTTTTTATACCTTGGCGCTATGGGATATATATATATTATAATTGTAATGTATACATTACTTACCATATTTACCGAAATAACAATAATTTTAAAAATCGATTATGCGGCTAATTTCGATTGTAACGACCTTAATATCAAATGGATATATTAGGTGAAGTAAAAAGTTCTGAGCGTTTTTTCGCTTTATTTCGACGATGAAATTAACATAGTTAGGATTATCCGATTTCGATCAAATATGCGCCGTTTTGTTCGATAACTTTTGTCCATTTTGAAAGCAATTTCATAATTCCGCGATTGAAGAAGTCCTCGTCCCTATTGGTAAAAAACTTGACCAGCTCATTTTCACAAGCCTCTCTTGAGGCTAGTTTTGTACCATCAAGAAAATTTTGCAAATGCTTGAAAAGGTGATAATCGCTTAGTGCCAAGTCTGGACTATACGGTGAGTGCAATAGAACCTCCCATCCGAGCTCTCGGAGCTTCTGGCGCGTCGTTAATGATGTGTGCGGCCTGGCGTTGTCTTGATGGAACACAACACTCTTCCTATTGGCCAATTCTGGCCGTTTCTGATCGATCGCCTGCTTCAATCTGGTCAGTTGTTGATAATAGAGGTCCGAATTGAATGTTTGGCCCGATGGGAGCAGCTCATAGTGGATGATTCCTTTCCAATCCCACCAAACACACAGCAAAACCTTCTTGGCCGTTAATCCGGGCTTGGCGATCGTTTGGGCCGGCTCACCGCGATTGGACCACGATCTTCTTCGGCTGTTGTTCTCGTATGTGACCCATTTTTCATCACCAGTTACCATCCGCTTCAAAAATGGGTCGATTTCGTTACGTTTCAGCAAAGAATCGCAGGCATCAATTCGGTCCAAAAGGTTCTTTTGCGTCAATTCGTGTGGCACCCATACATCGAGCTTCTTCTTGAGACCAGCCTTATGCAAATGGTTCCAAACGGTTTTCTGGCTAATCTTCAGTTCCTGGGCAATGGAATAAGTGCTCACATGCCGGTCCGACTCGACGATTTCCATGATTTTATCGACATTTTCGACAATTGGCCTACCAGAGCGTGCCTCATCTTCGACGTCCATATTACCAGAACGGAATCTTTGGAACCACCGCTTTGCTGTTGCATTCGATACTGTATTGGGTCCATAAACAGCACAAATTTTTTTGGCCGCCTGCTCCGCCTTTTCATCTTGGTCGTAATGGTACTGAAGAATGTATCGAATTTTCTCTTTTCTTACCTCCATTTTGAAACGCTGTAACACACAACTGCTTTTACCAAACACAAAACTGTAACAGAACTTTTTTTGAAGCATAACGTCACCTTTAAATCGACGTATAGTATGACCCGATGCGATGTATACATCGTGAGATATGGCTCACTAAAGACATCTAGCGGAAAACGCTCAGAACTTTTTACTTCACCTAATATATCAAGTCGATCCCGAGGAGATATAAAAAATAAGCATAAATTAAACAAAAAAAATACTGGCGGCTAGAGAACTATTGAATTTTTATCGGAATCAACATTTCTTCTCTGTAACAAATATGTATATGTATTGTGACGATGCAAAATATTGCCCGTCACTCAGGCGGTGGCCTGACCAAAAGGAAGCCGGGGGTCCGCGCCTTCTCACGGAAAGAGGGCGGCTGAGTACCGATTTTTGGTCCTGTGCGCCGTTTGAGCACAGGACGGATACCCGCGGCTTTAATGATTTTTTTTTTTGAGTGGAGGAACCCGCGAGCCAGGACAACGTACGAAGGGAAGAGCCGACGGAGAGGAAACTAGAGAGAGATTCGGAGGGACGGGGAGAGATGCGCCAGGACGGAGGAACAGCAACGGAAAGCGGGATGGCCACTTTGCGAAAGAGATGCGCAAGGTCCCGCGACCCGTTCGCAGATTAGGATCCCGCGGTAGGCCGCCCGGGAGTCCTCGAACGACTGCGAGCCCTAAAAGTTGCCGGACTCCGCCCCGAAAAGAGCAGGCGAAAAGGCGTCGAAAACCATCAGTAACAGACGCGAGGTCCCGCGAACATCCGCAAAACAAATAATTCGGCAGAAGGAACAAATCAGGAGCCGCGTGGAGCGGCGCTAGATCCCTGAGACGGTTGTTCATATGAGACGGGAGGAGCGAAGCTCGTCACTGTGCAGCCCGCAAGCGTGCGAAACAGAAGTGCGAACGAGCAAACGAGCGAATGAGCGAGCGAGCGTGCGAGAACCCGGACCGCGGCTGTGTCTAGGAAGGAGCTCCAGGAGAGGAGAGGCGAGCTTCCGGTGGCGAGCGGGTGAGCGAGGCCTCATACAGTCGCGGACTAAAAAGTCAAGTTGCAATTAATTCCGGGGAAGTAGTATTACGAGTAATTTCGAGAGGTTGCCGCCGCTTCTCGGCGGCAGGTGAAGTCGTGACTACTCTAGGAAGTTGCCGCCGCTTCTCGGCGGCTAGCAGAAAGGAACTCGGTCGTCTTAAAATAGTGCCGGTCGCACAGTCCGCGCTGATTCGAAGTTCGAAGGCGTGCGTACGAACTCGCGCGTAATTAAGACAATTGTGCGTATGGACTGCTGCCGGCGGGCGAGTACGTCGGGGAGTACCGACCCGGCCGGGGCAGCAACTACTGCCGGGAGAGAGACCCGGCTGGCGCCCAACTTAGGACCCGGAGATATTCGCTCAACTGTTGCCGGACATGGGAGCTCAAAACGCGACGCGAGTCAATTTATTTGCTGCCGTCGAACGGCCTAGATCCGCCCCTGGAAATTACGTATCGCGAAACAACTGGCGAGACACGCTTCCTTAGGATCTGTTGCCGAATCTCTTGGAAAAGGAAGCGAAGCCGCTGTTTGTGAGCAGGCTAACCGAATTGAACGTTATATTTTGGTCGGTTCAGACGCGGAACCGATTGTCTCACATGACCGCTAGATAATCGAATAACATCTTCTTGTACTCTTTCAAACTAAAAGTAAAGCTTTGTCATTTGTTATTTTTTAAACGTCCTTTCGTGTTTATTTACTTCTCCCGGCTCCCCTCCGACGGAACGGTACATATCGAAGGTACGCGATTAAGAACCACGACGCTTTAGTTTCGTGTGCCGTTTTGCGAACAAGACGTGACCCGCAGCAATTATTTATTTTTTAAGTGTAAAGTCACCCATAATGAGATGCCAGCAATTTGAACCTAAGAAGAGATTAGAGCTACTTGGAGGAGCCGAGTGCAAACGAAATGGAAGACTCTGAAGGAGCGGCTAGAGCGGTGCACGGAAGGGGGCGGGAAATCTTCCTTTCTCGAACGGATGGCTGGCCACAGACAGCGGGGGTAGCCACCTTGCGCTGAGAAAAGCGCAAGGACCTGCGACCCGGTCAAAGATCATGCGAGGGAGGATACCTTTGAAAGGGCCAAGGGAATTCCTTCAAGTACTGCGAGCCCAGCAGTTGCCGAATGTCGTCCTGCAGGAACGACGACAAGCTGAGCGTTGAATAGAAGACGCTAGACACGAAGATCTTGTGTGCACCCATGATCTAGTCGGGAGAGGTAATAGGATGCCGCTTCGATCGGGGCGACAGATCCTTGCGTCGGCTGCTTCCTGCGCTAATTGACGAGCCCTACTTGTCACTGTGCGGCCCGTTGGCGAGTGGAACGAACGTCCCGACGCGGGAGCGAGCGAGAGAAGCTGTCGAATTGACGAGACGAGATTCTGAGAAAGAGAAGCGAGTTTCAAATGGCGAGTGGATAACAGAAAGAGTAACATTTTACAGTCGCGAGGAAGAAAAATTAGGGTTGTGTTATAATTCAGAGTCGGTTGCCGTCGCTTCTCGGCGGCATCTGCACGACTAATAAGCTGGGAATTGGACTCGTTTAGGGCCCGTCGCACCCTGAAAGTCGGGACGCGCGGACGTGTGAATTTTTGGGGCCATGTCGCAGCGCAATGAAGGCCGTGCTCAAGAGTGTCTCCAGCGTAGGAATCCTGGAAACTCGGAAGCGAAATTCGGTTGCCTTTTTTAATCGCTGCTCGCAGTCTTCGAATATTAATTGTCGGTATTGCTTGTATTGCATTCAGCCGTGTCATTGACTCGCGTGCTTTTTGGGAAACTGCTTCTGGCGAGCGAGCTAAATCGGATATTGTACATGATCGGCCAGGAAGCAATAATTACTGCCGGGAAAAAGCCGGCTAGCGCACATTAGAAAACCCGGCGAGATTCGAGTAACAAAACCGGGCAAGAGAGCTTTTCTTGTTATTACGATGCTCATTGAACGATTGTCATAGTTGCCGTCGGACGGTTTAGATCTGTCTAAAATCATCGAGAAACATCTCGGGCGAGAGATCATTCTCTATTAAAAATATTACGGCATCTTCCGGTGTATCGGATCTTTGTTGGTATTTGAATTTAATTAAGCGAATTAAAGAATACTTATTTATATGTAATCGTCTATAATTATCTCTCCCCCGATCCGTCTTCAAATTTTCCGTGAGTATTGAGCAAGAAGGCAAAAGAACTACGACGCTCTACTATACTCGGAATGGCGATGAATTGAATTCGGTATCGATAAACTAGTACTAAGTTAGCCGAGGTGGGTCCGTTGCCGCGAAAGCAGGAGCTAAGAAATCCTGCAACCGCGGACAATAATTGCTGTGATTGTCGTTTGTAATTACAGTGTGACAGTATATATTTTGACAATTGGTTTCTTTAATCCCAATTTTAATTTTAATAATGTATAACACCTTTTTATATGTAAATATTTCTTTTTAAAAAAATATCTAAAACCCATATATTTAATAGCGTGGCCAGCTTTTTTTCTGAACCTTTTCTTGGCAAAACTTATCAATTTAATAGTTTTTATCTATTTTTTTATAGGAAATAATAATTATAATGTTAGCGCAAATTTATTATATAAACTTCGTATATTGTCTGCATTTGCAAAAAGCTCTCTATGTGCCTATTCAGATTTTAAAAAACTATTATTTCGAAAAGTTTTGTTTATTAAACTTATGCAAATGTACATATTGAATATCTTGGTTCCTAATAAATGCATTAAAAAAAAAAGGTGAGACGCTCGTCTGCTATCACGAGAAATCTTGAAGTTGTTCGATTCTCTCTTTTCTCGAAATTTTTTTTATTTTCAAATTGGCATATAAGTGGATATTTATACATCTTTTCAATTTAGTCTATTGTAACGATATTGAAGGGCTTATAAAAGAATATAAAATTCCTTATAAATCCAACGACTGGCGTCTATTTATAGATTCTTTCACGCGAAGTTTAAAAACAGTATTGCTACATAATGGCAACATATACGCTCCACTACCCGTTGGTACTCAGTTGTACAGTTGTACACTCAGTTGCGTTGAATGAAGACCACAACCTTCGCTTCTTGCTGGAAAAGTTGAATTACGATGAACATAAGTGGCAGATGTGTGGAGACTTGAAAATAATGACGATTCTACTAGGTCAACAAAGTAATTTTACAAAACATCCTTGCTTTATATGTGAATGGGACAGTCGAGCTCGCAATGAGCATTATGTAAAGAACGATTGGTCACTTAGAGACAACTTTATTCCAGGATCTAAGAACATTATAAAACAGAGTCTGATACCTACAAAGTTATTCTTCCACCACTACATATAAAGCTCGGACTAGTAAAACAATTCATTAAAGCGATGAAATCCACTGAAAGCGAAGCTTTTAAGTATATCTTTGAAAAATTTTCAAAACTGTCTGATGCGAAAATCAAAGAAGGTGTGTTTAATGGACCACAAATAAAAAAACTGTTGTAAGACGATAAATTTGAAAAGAAAATAACTAAGGTTGAAAAAGCAGCCTGGCAAAGTTTTAGAGACGTTACAAAGAAATTTCTAGGCAATACAAAAAATCCTAATTATGTAAGTATTGTTCAAAATATGGTGATAAATTTTAAAAACGTGGGTTACCTCATGAACCTGAAACTTCATTTTCTTCATTCACATCTCGAATATTTTCCTGGTAATTTAGGTGATTTTAGTGAAGAGATTTTAGAGAAAAATTTCACCAGGACTTACAAGATATTGAAAAGAGATATCAGGGTATTTGGGATGACCACATGTTGGCAGACTTGTTGGTCTTTAAAAAGGGATACGCCAAACCAACATAAAAGAAAAGCGTTACGAAGATCATTCACCAATAAACAAACGCGTTATTATTGTAAGACTTCAGAAGATTAAACAACCAATGTGTAGTTTTATAGCTCCTATGAAAATCGTGAGAGGCAAGGTAACGCACGTAAATAAAGCACCCCGAATCATGAGAGGCAAGGGGACTCATATAAATCAAGCACCCCGAATTGTGAGAGGCAAGAGGACTCACATAAATTAAGCACCCTAAAGGGAACAGAAGTCTACTACGTCCTCGTCGTTGTTCCTGGGTATGGCTAAACGTAGGCTTTTAATTTATAATTTGATCAAACTCATTCGGCGATTTTCTGGCGTCACAGATGGATGTCTCTTTCGCTGGTAGGGTTTGAAGGTTATTTAGTTACGAGATGGGGTTTTTGGGTTAAAAAGGTGTAGAGTTAAGAGGTTAAGAGGTTATAGGGTTTGAACAAAATGAGGTTTACAATACTTTGATTAAGAACTCATTTACTGTGATTTTCTGACGTCAGAGATGCATGTCCCTCTTTTTGGTCAGGTTTTAAGGTTATGTGGTTACGGGGTTATGGGGTTTTCATGTTAACGGGGTTTAGGGTAAAGTGGTTTAGAGGTTATAGGGTTTGAACATAATGAGGTTTACAATACTTTGATTAAGAGCTAATGTAGTGCGACTTTCTGACGTAAGAGATACGTGTTATTGTTTCAGGTCGGGTTTTGAGGTTATGTGGTAATGAAGTTATGCGTTTTTGGGTTTTCAAAGTAGAAGGGTTATGAGATCAAGGAATTTTCTGTGATTAGAATTTGCGGTGGTTAATGATTCCACGAGTTGCTGAGTTTTGGGTTTAATTTTAAGGTTATGAAAAATCCTGACGTGATTAAGAAAAACTTGCTCCGGATTCTGTTTCAGCGACCCAAAAAACATATAATCCACTTAGTCTGGTCGAAAGAACCTTTCATCAATTTTTTTTGTGGTCCTGTAAAATTGATCTCACTGTTGCGTTGTGATGGATTTCAATGAAAAAAGTGGACGTCGAATTACGATGCTATCTTGATCGAAATGCCCGAGTCAGAATTACTTGATTTTAATACAGTTTAGTTCAGAGATGTCCCCACTACTAGAGTTTTGGGTGTCTCTTGGAATCCCAAGACAGATTGTTTCACTTTTCAAATTAATCTACCTAACGTAGTCAATAATACCAAGCGCTGCTTGTTGTCGATCATCGCACGACTATTTGATCCCTTAGGTTGAGTCGCACCAGTAGTAGTGAATGCTAAAATTTTCATGCAGGAATTATGGCTCAGAAAGTTTGATTGGGATACTATTATACCGGATGACCTCCAGGGAAATTGGACATCGCTTCGTAAGAGCTTAGTCGAGCTCAAATACGTTTCCATTCCACGTCGGACGAACCAATCAACATCACAGCTAACTGTAGAATTACATAGCTTTGCAGACGCCTCTTCAAGAGCTTACGCTGCTGTAGTATATATACGCATCCTGGATTCGACCGCACAATTTAGCACTACGTTACTCATAAGTAAGACAAAGGTAGCGCCCATTACGACAATAAGCATTCCCAGGCTTGAATTGTGCCCAGCAGTATTATTTACACGACACATACTATTTGTTAAAACCACTTTAGTCATTTCTGATGTACCTATATACTGTTGGTCTGATTCTATGATTACACTGTATCACACTCATGGATTAAACAACATCTGTCTAATTGGAAGACGTTTGTAGCCAACAGGGTTTCAGAGATTCAAACTAACTTACCTCAGACAAAATGGAGATATGTACAGTCATGTGAAAACCCTACATACTGCACATTTAGAAGTAATACCACCTCTGACTTAAAGAAAAATGTGTTCTGGTGGTCTGGACCTCCATGGTCAAGTAAGCATTCATCTTCTTGGACTGATTAGCTCCACATATTAGTAGCTGATCTCAGAATCGAGCAGAAGTCTTCCGCGGTACTTTTGGCAAGTGCGAGAACTGCTGAATGAGACTTAATCTAGCGATTTTCTTCCTGGCAGAAACGAGTTATTGCATACTGCTTAATGTTCATTTACAAGGTACAAGGAAATAAAAGAGTTAACTGTAAGTTATTAGAGAATCTAGACAAATTTACACTTACTTTGACAACGGTAGTAAACCTAGCACTTAAATTTTGGTTGTTACAAATACAACAGGTTCATTTTGAAAAGGAGATAGTAGCTATTAAAGGTAATACCCCGCTATCAAAGATAAATTAAAGAAATTAAATCCATTCTTAGATAAGAAAGGGTTTTTGTGTGTCGGAGGTCGACTAAAGCACGCACCTCTTTCCTTTAGAGAGAGACATTCTATTATTCTTCCCAAACATCATTTCTCCGAATTGATAATCGATCAACTTCATCTTCAAACTCTGCATAATGTTACTCAGTTGACGTTGCGAGTTTTAAAGAAAACTTACTGGTTGTTAGTTGCACGTACCGCAGTTAAACCTCGAATTTACAAATGTATTATTTGCGCTCGTCATCTTTCAAAGCCAATTTCTCAACTCATGAGAAATTTATCTGCACACCGAGTCACACCCAGTCGTTTGTTTCAACATACAGGAGTTGATTATGGAGATTTATCTCACATATTGTCAAGGGTAGGCTGAGGTCAACATACTTTTAAATCCTATATTGCTTTTTTTTGTGTGTCAATCGACAAGAGCCATTCATTTGGAATTGATGGGTGATTACACCGTCTCTGGGTTCTTGGCGGCTTTATGTTACTTCGCAGCTCAAAGAGGATTTTCTTATTCATTATATAGCAATAACGGAACCAATTTTGGAGGTGCACAACGCGAGTTAAATCGCGCATTTAAGGCCTTATCCCGAGATTCGGATCTCGTTGCTCATCAGGCCAGTGATGGCGTTGATTGGCGTTTCACACCACTCTCAGCACTACATTTTAGCGGTTTATGGGAGACGGGAGTGAAAACTGTCAAATATCATTTGACAAGAGTAGTTGGAGCTCATTCCTTGTCCATAGAGGAGTTCACTACTTTATTAACACAAATAGAAGCATGCCTAAATTCCAGACCTATCGCTCCGCAATTGGATGATCACAATGACAATTCTCCTCTTATTCCTGCAAACTTTCTGGTTAAGGAAACTTTGGTCACAGTACCTGAGAAGTCTGTTTTGGATCTAAAGTAGTCACGTTCAAGTCGTTGGCAGCAAGTGCGACGATTACTTAAGCAATTTTGGAGTATCTAATCTACAGATTATTTAAATACGTTGCAACAACGAAGCAAATGGAAAAGTGTACAACCTAATGTCCAATTACGTGAGTTAGTCTTAATGCGATACGACTTATTACTCCATTCTAAGTGGGAATTAGGACGAATAGTCCGCATTTATCCCGGCGAGAATGAGCAGGTGTGCGTGGTAGACTTGAAAACTATTTTAGGGATCTATAAGCGTCCGATTACAAAATTAATTAGGTTGACTAGCGTGCTTACCCAGGAATACGATTTGAGTTAATCCCGGTAAAGCGGGCGGCGGCCCTATTATATGTATACCGTCTTTCCTTTTTTTTATTCTTATTACCTCGATGTAATCATTCTTTCAATTACTTTGTGTTCTTTCTTAATTTATTGGTAATACAAATAAGTTTCAGCCGATTTTTTTTTAAATCATCAATTTATTGTAAAAAAAATATACGTTACATTATATTCAAAATATTGTCCGTCACTAGCTACTACTTTTTGCCATCTTTCTGGCAATTTACGGATGCCACGTCGAAAAAACTCTTCATCTTTTGAGGCTACACATGAATCGATTCAATTTTTGGCTTCTTCGTAAGAAGTGAAGTGCTGCTCGACCAGGGCGTGAGCCATCGATCAGAACAAGTGGTAGTCTGAAAGAGCAATGTCTGGTGAATACGGCGGGTGGGGTAAGACATCCTATTGTAAAGCTTCCAAAGTATCCTTGACGACTTTTGCAACATGTGGCCGAGCGTGGTCGTGCTGAAAAATCACTTTGTCATGTCTTTTGGCATATTGGGGACGTTTAAGCTTCAATTCTTGGCTTAATTGCATCAGTTGCTGTTAATCCACTTTTCATCCCCCGTCACTATTAGATGCAAAAAACCCTTCCGATTTTGTCTTTGGAGAAGTTGTTCGCACGTGAAAAGACGGCGTTCGACGTCTCTGGGTTTGAGTTCATGCGGAACCCAATTTCCTTGCTTTTGTACCATACCAATAGTCTTGAGACTGTTTGAAATCGCTTGTAGAGTCACTCCCAAGTTTTCTGCAAGCTGCTCTTGAGTTTGGCATAAGTCTTGGTTCAATAATGCCTCTAACTCAGCGTCCTCAAACTTTACTAGCCTTCCTTCGCGTTCATTATCTTCCACGTCAAACTCGCCGTTTTTAAACTTTTGAAACACTCACGACAACTTCTCTCACTTAAAGCAGCATCACCGTAAACTTCTACAAGCGACCGATGCGCCTCAGCAGCAGATTTCTTTAAATGAAAGAAATAAATCAAAACTTCCCGCAATTGACGCTTATTCGGTACAAAATTCGACATTTTCGAAAGAAAAAAATGTATATTGCCAATACAAAGTCAATAGTATTTTATGGTTATGTTGTTGCCAGGTGTCCAAACTTTCTATATGATGTTTTACATCTGACGATTTCAAAGTAATCTTGTCGGTGGAGCCATCTTGTGAAAACGGCGGAAACTTATTTGTATTACTAATATTTGGTAAATATGAAGCAGGCGGTATGTTCAAAACTTTACTTAAGAATGGGATATTTGTTAAAGTACATATTGCGTCGGTAACACGTGCCAAAAAAGAATATTGAGGACCAACAGGTCGGGTAATGCGTAAGTGTTTTATCGGACACGTATTATGGAAAGTGGTGTTATCCCACGTTATTTGTATTGACTCGTTGACGCTTGATATTACGCGATATGTATATTTGCTCGTTAGAAGAGAAGAGAAGAGAGAGGCCCAAGAGCCATGCTAGAGAACACATCGTTATGTGTATTACTCCGACTCAGAAAAGCCACCGCTCCGTATTCTACGTCTTCTGCGCTTCTACTATCGCTTGCGGGTTGCGATAACTAGTAAGTTGACGGTATTAATAAAGGCGTGTCAAACCCCGGAATTGTTGAGTTCAATTAATATCAAGAATTCCATAAGCGGTTCGAGACCACGAGACGAATCCACGGTGAGACTCCAAGCAGCGAGCGTAAACGGCATCGAGCTACTTGCCATTGCCGTCACATAGTATGGAACGTCGTTTAAGAGAAATAGTCAATTCAGTGGTGGTGCCATAAAATATTGTTACGCCCGTGTCTTGATGCCCGCGCCTTTAGCGCC